CTTAGTTTATTATTTTTCTTATATCCTCCAAGGAATTTTAAGTGGCCCACCTGTTTTGCCAATGCAATCTTTGGCTGCATTAACAGAGGGATAGAATCAAGATCACTTGAAGTGTTAATACTGCTTTATAAAAGCCTTAGTAAGACCACACTTATAACATTGCATCCAGTTTTGATCACCATATTATAAAAGATGTAGAGACTCTGGAAAGAGTGCAGAGAAGAGCAAGAAAGATGATTAGTGGACTAGAGGTTAAAACATCTGAAGAATGATGGCAGGAATTGGGTTTGTCTAGTCTAGTAAAAAGGGGGTGACATGATAGCAGTGTTCCAATATTTGAGGGGTTGTCACAACTATTTTCCAAAGCACCAGAAGCCAAGACAAGAAACAATTGATGGAAACTAATCAAGAAGAGAGGTAACCTAGGACTAAGGGGAAATTTCCTAATAGTGAGGACAATTAACCAGTGGAATGGCTTGCCTTCAGTCTCTTCTTAAAAGAGACTGAACAGCCATTGTCTGGAATGGTATAGAGCAGGGGTCTCCAACCTTGGGCAAAATTAAGACATGTGGACTTCAATTTCCAGAGTTCCTCAGCCAGCTTTGCTGACTGAGGAACTCTGGGAGTTAAAGTCCACAAGTCTTAAAGTTGCTCAAGGTTGGAGACCCCTGGTATAGAGTCTCCTGCTTGAGCAGTGGGTTGGACTAGAACATCTCCAAGGCCCCCTCCGAGGCCCCCTATTCTTCTGTTATCCCATTTGTGTTCAACGAATAACCCAGTGCTGAAAAACTGCCTGGCTTTATGAAGTCCTACTCTCAGCTGGGCATGGTATAGATATTTCCATCCCACGATAAAAGAAGGCAACTCTGCCCAAGCATAAAACAGAAGCAGGACTTTTCTATTCAACATTCTTTCATGAGTGAATTTCACCTATCTGACCATGGACCTTTATAAGCCCAAATATCACCAGTACACAATTATATTGACATGCTGTCTTTCAGCATTCAATAGAAGTAGCTTACTAATTTGAAATGGCATATATCTGAAAGAATGTGCTTTTGGATCAATGGGAGTTACTTGCAAATAAACATCCTTGTGATTGTAGCCAATGTGCATAATAAGCACTAGATGGTATTGTGGTCCTTCTGTTCCATGTGGTTCTTCTAGAGCTGTATTTAATTATTTTGCAAGTGTTTTTTTTAAAGCATAGAGGACTTTAATATTTAAATTTTAATATTTAAATATTTAAATTTTGGTATCTAGCAGATGCTTTACTTTTTTGTAAAGGGCCAAAACTTAAATATACGAGGGAACTAGCATACAAGGGAACCAAGCAGTTTCTAAGCTAAAAATGTGTAGGGCCTTCACACACAGCAATAGGTCAGATATTCAGTTTCATGAGTTCCACTTTGAAAGAGAAGTATCTGAGCTTGCAAAACAAAAAACAAAAAAAAAAACACCAGCTTTTCCTAATGCTATATCATGTAGAGGTAGACATATAGCTCCAGATTTTGCTGGCAATTTCCAGCTTTTATCATTGGCCAGATGGGCCTGTGGGAATTGTAGTTAAAAAAAATTACTTACCGTATTTGCCGGCGTATAAGACGACTTTTTTGCCCTGAAAAACATGCCTCCAAGTGGGGGGGTCGTCTTATACGCCGGGAGGACTCCGACTCCCACTTCGAGCTTGAGTTGCAGCCGGGAGGGAGGCTGGGGGGGGAGCGGTGTGTGTGTGTGTGTGTGTGTGTGTGTGTGGCGGGTGTCACTCGCCACGCGCTGCGCAACCTTTCCCCCTCTTCCTTCCTTAGCGGTGTGGGGAGGAGAGGATTCGAAGATCCTCACGTGCGGCGTACTTTTCTTTTTCTTTTTTTCTTTTTGTACGCAGGTTTTGCATGCGGGCGGCTGTAGGTTAAGGATGGGGGAGCCCCCGGGTGGGTTATCAGGTTTTACTGTGCTTCCAACATGTGCGAACGGTGGGAGAGCGTAGAAGAGAGCGAGCGAGCGCCCCGCTGTGTGAAATCCTGCCGTCAAAGCAACACTGGGGGAGGCAGGGTATAAATTTACCAGGTTAATGTAGCAATGGTGATTAATGCCCAGAACATTGTTTGCGGGTATTGGGGTGTGTGTGTGTGTGTGGTGGTGGTGAGGAGAGGTTGTCCTTTGAATGCGGAAAAGTAGGTGTGACCTTGTGTAGGAAAATAAAGAGATCCTTTTTAGCGTGTTTGGCTTCTTTGCCTCCCCTCGTTCGTTTTGATGGAGATAATGGCCTTCGTGCGGGAGGGGAAGAAAACGGTAGCTGGATCATTTCAAATTTCACTTACTCTCCTGCCTCACTTCAATATGTCTGAGCGACTCCAGATACTGGAAGACTTTTTGAATGAAAGTGTTACCTCCATTTTTTTTTTTTAAAGAGGGCCACTTGGGGAAAAAAAAAGATTCTAAGGAATTCCTTGTTTCTTGATTAAAGAGAAGGCATTGAATATAATGTTCCTTGGCAGCCTTTTCAGTGTCCGGGTTTTTGGTGTGTGTGTGTGTGTGTGTGTGTGTGTGTGTGTGTGTGAGAGAGAGAGAGAGAGAGAGAGAGAGAGAGAGAGAGAGAGAGAGAGAGAGATCAGCTGTATTGAGAAGAGAACGTTTCCTGTGTTCTCATTTTATTTACAACATATTTTACGCTTAATGGTAAGCAATGAAAAATATTTTTAAAACTCATTTCTAAACTCCATAGCTATTTGCATATTCTTGGTTCAAAATTGGATTAGCTCATTTCAAAATTGTCCAAAGCAGAAAAGTGCGTCAAAAAAAAAAAAAAGTGCAAAAGTGGAAGGTGTGTGGAAGAGGGGGTAGTCTTATACGGCGAGTATATAACAAACTCTATATTTTGAGTGGAAATGTTGGGGGGTCGTCTTATACGCCCAGTCGTCTTATACGCCGGCAAATACGGTACTTACTTTTACTTACTTACTTACTTACTTTCTTACTTACTTACTTACTTACTTACTTACTTACTTACTTAAAAACAATTCCAATTTATCTAGTTTTATGAAGTGGAAAGGATGGGTGATCTCTAACTCTTCTGAGAAGGAAAACTGGGACACATTTTAAGTAAGCAGAGAATTTGTTCAGGAAACTCTTAAGAGAAGCTGGGTTTTTAAAAAGACATGCAGGTAGTCCTTGACTTACAACAGTTCATTTAACAGTTCATTCATCAAAGTTACAATGGCACTGAAAAAAGTGACTTATGACCGTTTTTTAACACTTACGACCATTGCAGCATCTCCATGGTCATATGATCAAAATCCAGATGCTTGACAGCTGTTTCATATTTATGACAGTTGCAGTGTCCCGCAGTCATGGGATCAGCTTTAGTTGACCTTCTGACAAGCAAAGTCAAACCCAGATTCACTGAATAACCATGTTACTAAATTAACAAATGCAATGATTCACTCAACAACTGTGGTCAGAAGAGTTATAAAATGGGGCAAACTCATGTAACAAGTGTTTCGCTGACCAACATAAATTTTGAGCTGACTTATGGTTGTAAGTCGAGGACTATCTATATATAAAAGATGGAAGGAGGGCAAGGAAGAGAGCAGTAAAATATTCCCAACCATTAGAAAACCTAATCCATCAGGAAAATATCAAAATGAAAATTAACATCAGCTTTAAGGAATGCTAATTATATATATATTAAAAAAACTCGGGCCACAATGATCAACAAGATGATGAAAGAATAACAAAGGTCATTCTTTTCTTTTTCTTTTTAGGTATGGTGAGATTTTCTTAGATAATGGAATCTTATAGCAGTGGAAAACAAATGATGACATAAAGGAGAAAAATGGCAAAGCCTAGCCTTTAGTTTACCAACATGAAAAAAATGGTGATTGAAACGTTCTTCTAAGAATTTTAGGTACAGTTTAGTAATGCTTGTCTTGGCATTTTGTCCCTGAATTTTATCTAGATACAAGCTGGTACCTGAACAATAATTTTTATAGTATATAAAGTACTGTAAATTTGTTAGTGAAAAAATATAAAAACAACAACTTAAAAAGCAATAAGAAAACAAAATGTGTATTCTTAACATTAAAGTGTTCTTTTTGACCGTACACCACAAAACGATGAGAATTGCATAGCTAATTGAGAAAACAGTGTTTGGAAAATGTTTGGGTATGCCAAAAATAACAATCATGTACAGATAATATAACTTTTTTTTTCTGGGTTTATCGTATTACTTATTTGTTTCCTGCACTGGTTCGAGCAAAACTGCCATATTGTGCTGTATTGCAGAGGTACAATTTTCTACCATTATGTAATTACTGACATTGCTTTTATATTTTTAAAAAATGCTTTTATATACTGACATTGCTTTTATATAGTTAAAAAGCCTGATACCTACAAATAACAACAATGGCAATGGTAGTAATGGCTCCTGGCTGCCCCAACATTGCCAACATCTCCAAATGGCTGTCTATATCTGATGTGAACTGGATTGCGCTATCTAACTCTCTCTCCCTCTCTCTCCCTCCCTCCCTCCGTCTCTACCTCTCTCTTTTTCTCTCCCTCTCTCTTTTTCTCCATCTCTCTCTCCTTCTTTCTCCATCTCTTTCTCTCCCTCTCTCTCTCCCCCTCTCTTTCTCCCCCTTTCTCTCTCTCCTTCTCCATCTCTCTCTCTTTCTCCATCTCTCTCTTTCTCCCTCTCTCCCTCTCTCCCCCCTCTCTCACTGTGTGTGTGTGTGTGTGTGTGTGTGTGTGTGTGTGAGAGAGAGAGAGAGAGAGAGAGAGAGAGAGAGAGAGAGGACAATATGTTTAGAAATACATGTGTCGTGGTCCCATTGGAGCCTGGTTCAGAGAAGGAGGAGTTGGAACTGGAATCATCTGATGGCACCTCTCCCTTGGCATGTTTGGAGAGGTCAGGACAATGCTGTCCTGGGTCTCTCAGGCATTGAGGGAAGTGGTTGACCAGGAGCAGAGCTACCCGCCTGCACAGACATAGGGGAGGGACAGCTGCTGACAGGCAGTAGTGCTGATAGGCAGCAGATCTCCTCTGATGAGGAACAGCTGCCTCCTTGACTCGATCTAAGGGCAAGGAGATTGGAGCATAGACAAGCCCAGAGAAGGGCTTCAAGGCTACTTGGGAGGAGATCGTCCCACCCCTCCTCCCAAAGAACACCAGGAGTAGAGTAACTTAAGTAAAAGTGTGGGGCGTTAGTCTTTGCCAGGAATAATTGTTTGCTTTGGCTTACACTCCCCCACCTTTGACTCATGCCTGTTGCTGTTTGCCTTGCTTCGCTTGGAAGATTGGTCTTCACCTTTTGTCTTAGATCTTGACCTTGTCCTGTTGACTGCTTTTACCGGTTGTTGGAGGCCATTTGCTGGACCATTTCTTGGGAGAAATAAAGGTCTCTCTAGATGCCTGCCTTCCCTTGACCACCTGGGTCATAACCAGTGGTGGGATTCAATTTTTTTTTACTACCAGTTATGTGGGCATGGCTTGGTGGGCGTGGCAGGGGAAGGATACTGTAAAATCTCCAGTCAGAGGCGGTATTTGCCAGTTCTCCAAACTATTCAAGATTTTCGCTACCGGTTCTCCAGAACTGGTCAGAACCTGCTGAATACCACCTCTGGTCATAACAACATGCTTTGAAAGAGCAACAAGAGTTTTGGAATGTATTAAAATATGAATTTTATGTGGATTAGCATTTTCAGAGAGAGGAATGGAACAGCCATATGGGTGAACATATGCTAAAGTAGCATAAAAGAGAAATAAACTTTTTACTTATCTTAATGACTGGTTGCTATTTTAGTGAGAACATCTTCTATTGTTCTACTGTTTTGCAGAAGTTGCATGGGCTCCCATTTAATTTCTGCACCAGGAAAAATGCTTACCTGGCTTTATTTATATATATACCCAAGTGTAGGGTATTCTAATGATTCCAGGATATTCACACAAGGATTTCGAACAAGCTGGATCATAAAATTTGGACTTGTTTGGATAGTTGAATTAATGGTGTTTTTTTTTTTTTTTGTCTTTTGATGGGGGAAAAAGCTGAAAGGTATTTTGGATATTTGTTTTCCATTGAACCAAGCTTGTGGGCAGCTCCTCTTCTCTTTGATAGGAATTCTTGTTCTACTCAATTTGCCAATTCTTGGGCTCAATGCCTTAACTTTTGACATTCCTAATTATACCTTGTTTGGTCCCCAGAGCATTTGCTGCTCTGGCAGGACAGGGTCAATTTTTTTCTGTTAGGTTAGCATATAGGTAAGCTTGGTGACCCTGACCTTGCTGGCCAAGGTAGGTGCAGAATGTTCCCTTTGTGAGGAAGCGTTCAGTGATTATTACTTACTTCCCCTTTCTTGTCTCAACACTTCTTGTTACAGGTATTTGTATGTGGATCTTTGGTTATTCGGATTTTCTCCCGTGTAAGATTGGAAGTATCTAGGCAACGTTTCGATGAAGTCTCATTCATCATCTTCAGGCTTCTGTCTTCAGCTCTGTGCTTCTCAGAGTGATGTGAGCTTGCAGCTGCTTCTTCCTTTTAACTGCTAGTGGGGGTGTGACTTGATTGGGTGGGGGCTTGGCTGTGTTCTGATTGGGTGGGGGTGTGTTCTCATTGGTTGGGGGTTTGGCTGTGTTCTGATTGGTTGGGGGGTTGGCCATGTTCTGATTGGCTGGAGGTGTGTTCTGTTCAGGTGGGGGCTTGGTTGTGCTCAGGTTGGTCTTAGTTACTGGGGGATTTGAGCTGGTGAGCTGTGATCTTGATGTTTGGCTTCGAGTTCGTGTAGTGCTGCATCTTCATGGTGGGGGTCAGTTCGCTTCATGTATGGCTCAGAGGGGTTTGAAGTGGGTAGTGATGCAGCTGCAGTGCGGCTTCTGGTCTGTGGTCGTGTATCTTCTGTGTGGGTGTGAGTCTGCTTTTTACGTGGAAGTGTGGTAGTGGCATCTTGTGTGGCCCTCATGGGTGTGGGTCTGGTGTCATTCATCATGTTAGGCACTCGTCTGTTCATGAGGGCGGGTTTCCAAATGGCTGGTAAGCGGGAGGTGTCATCTCTTTTATTCATGCTGTGTGGGCGTTTTTCTATCTCTATGGCTTCTCTGATTATTCTGTTGTTGAAGTGTTCGGTTTTGGCGATAGTTCTGGTATTTTTAAAGTCAATCTCATGTCCTGTGGCTTTGAGGTGTTGGACCAGGGAAGAGGTCGGTTCTTCTTTTTTGATTGAGTTCTTATGTTCTTCAACGCGTGCACTTATTCTTCTGTTAGTTTGTCCAATGTATGTGGTGGGGCAGGCGGTGCAAGGGATTTCGTATACTCCTTGGTTTTCTAACTCGATTTTGTCTTTAGGGTTTCTTAGGATGGTGGATATTTTTCTGTTTGTGCAGAATGCTGTTTTAATGTTGTGTTTTTGGAGGATCTTGCTGATTTTGTCTGTAGTGCCTTTTATATATGGGAGGAGGGCTTTGCCGTTCTCTTGTTCTCTGTCTTGGATTTTGGTTGGGGTTTCTTTTTGGATTAGGTGGGTAATCTTCTTTTAATCTGATTTTGTTTGGCTTCGCGTTCGTGGTCAAACAACAGGATCACAGCTCACCAGCTCAAATCCCCCAGCAACTAAGACTAACCTGAGCACAACCAAGCCCCCACCTGAACAGAACACACCCCCAGCCAATCAGAACACAGCCAACCCCCCAACCAATCAGAACACAGCCAACCCCCCAACCAATCAGAACACACCCCCACCCAATCAGAACACAGTCAAACCCCCACCCAATCAAGTCACACCCCCACTAGCAGTTAAAAGGAAGAAGCAGCTGCAAGCTCACATTACTCCGAGAAGCACAAAGCTGAAGACACAACCCTGAAGATGATGAATGAGACTTCATCGAAACGTCACCTAGATACTTCCAATTTTACATGGGAGAAAACCCGAATAACCAAAGATCCACATACAAATATCCGTGAAAACCTCAGAATGGTGGCTCAATGGCTAAGACGCTGAGTTTGTCGATCGGAAAGTATCCTGCAGTTCGGCTGTTCGAATCCCTAGCATTGCATAACGGAGTGAGCTCCCGTTACTTGTCCCAGCTTCTGCCAACCTAGCAGTTCAAAAGCATGTAAAAATGCAAGTAGAAAAATACGGACCACTTTGGTGGGAAGGTAACAGTGTTCCGTGCACCTTCGGCATTTAGTCATGCCGGCCACATGACCATGAAGACATCTTCGGACAGCACTGGCTCTTCGACTTTGTAATGGAGATGAGCACTGCACCCTAGAGCCAGAAATGACGAGCACGTCTGTGTGAGGGGAACCTTTACCTTTACCTTTAATCATATACTATTGCTTATCTGTTTTAGAAAATCTTGCTGCATTGAATAAAGTTTAGATCAGGAGAGTCAAACTTGCAGCCTGTGGGCTGGATGCTTTATGTGCTGGCCCCGCCCCCACCCAGTTTAGCAAAGAGTGGAAAAGTCCTGATATGTCATATGACTATGCATTTGACACTCCTGGTTTAGATGGTGAAATACTGCATCCTTTGTTGAATGACGAGAAACTTTGTTAACTGCCCCGATAGTTTTCCATAGAGCCACAGAGTTATTGATTAGCAAGTCCAGGACACCACTTAAAGGCTTGGAGACAGCATTATACATTTATCTCCCCACTTCCTATAAGACTTCATCGAATTCAAAATCTATAAGCAAGGAAGGTGACCTCAGTCCATCTTGATATCAAATATATCTGGAATTAGAAGCTCGGCATACAGCCCGAAATTCTTACATAACAATAGAACTTCCTTATATGGAATTCTCTAATCACATCTTGCACAACATAATTATATTTTCTCTGCAGAATTTCATGGGAGTCACAAAGATGTCATTGATCAAGGTAGGTCATAATACTGGTTCCTATCATGGCTATTGAACTCTGGAAGAGAACTGTAATTTCTTGCGTTTGTGTCCTTCTCCCCCCATGTCTTAATGAAAGAAAAACAGAACATCCCTGAAATACCTATTTTATTGAATAATTATTTTCAGCCAGCCATCAGTAAGGAAAGCAGGAAATCCAGTAAGTTGAAACTTAACTATTCTAAGGTGAATGAAACTAAGTCATTGGAGGAACATTGTCACCATTTCATTGGTGAATGAAACTAAGTCACTAAGGAACATTGTCAGCTAAAAAATAAAATGTTTGCCATAGCAACAAAAAGGCATCTGTATTCTCCTGTTATTATTTTTTTTTCTTTTCTTTCCCAGAATACTGTTTTATCTAGCTGTAAGATGGATTCTTCAGGATGCTTATTCTTTATCTTACTCAAATGGCTGTCTCTACAAATCAAGTATGATTTGAAGTATAGCAGTGGAGAAAGAATAGGGCAATGTTCCTCAAACTTTTTCAGCAAAGTGGAGCTCAAAGTGTCTCTCTATATATATATTTACAACCTCATAATAATCTCACAAAAATGAGAAAGGGTTTTCCTTCTTTCTTTCTTTCAATTTGGGGGCTGGGGCTCAAGGCAGTCAAATCAGTTGAGAAATGGTAGAAGATTATGTTTGGCAATACTTGAGGAAGGCTCATTTTTCTCCTTTCTCCTCTTAGAAAACTTCCTTGAAGACTATTGGCCTGTGATGTAAGGAAAACCAAACCAAATCTGCACAAATAAGAAGCGGGCATGACTTAGTAGGGCAGAGGTACTCAGCAATAAAGTTGTGCAAAGTCACTTCTTCAGACAATACCTCTGTGGAAGGATGCTAGGTTGTCAAATTGAAGATGTCCAACAGAATTCCTGAAAGGGTGGTATTCAATTTTTTTTTACTATCGGTTCTGTGGGCGTGGCTTGGTGGGTGGGTGTGGCTTGGTGGGTATGGTGTGGCTTGGTGGGCGTGACTTGGTGGGCGTGGCACGGGAAGGATACTGTAAAATCCCCATTTCCACCCCACTCCAGGGCAAGGATACTATAAAATCCCCATTCCCTCCCTACCCCACTAACCTGCTTTCTAGCTCTGTTCTCCTGTGCAGGGCAACAAAAGAAAACCCAGCCAATCAGCTGGGACTTTGATCAGCTGGGACTCAGGCGTAGCAAATAATGGGGGCGGGTATTTACCAGTTCTCCGAACTACTCATACTTTCTACCGGTTCTCCAGAACCTGTCAGAATTGGCTGAATACCACCTCTGGTGGGGAGGGTTTCACTAAAGGTGCATAATCCTGAAAACCAACTGGTCTGTGATTTGATGAGTCACAGACACAGTGATGTCCACAGGGGAAGTAACAATAAATTTTTTTAAAAAATCAAGATTTTGATTGGGGCCTCAACAGTGGAAGTCCTGATCCTTTTTTTAAATTGCACAATGTGCATGACTAACATAAAAATGTATTTTTAAATTTTTTTGCAGACACAACCACTATCTAGCTTCATCCCACCTCCTAGCAGGTGTCCCATTACATTCTGGGTCATCTATTCCAGATGAAATCTGGAGCATAGGACGGCACTTCTCATTAAGGTGTTGGAGTTGTGACAGCAAGTCTCATTGACAGATGCTGGGGCAGGCTGGCATTATCACCCAAGCCATGGTTTTTCATAAGGATGTTGCCTTGACAAAGCCATCAGGAAATATGAGAGACAAATTACACAAATAAGTATGCAAATAGTGGTTTGATACTGCCTTTCTGGACATATGGAGGAATGGATAGATGGTTGTCATATATGAATCTTGTTAGGCTCTTCATCAGTAATTTCTTTTCAAGTTCTTTTCATTCAAGTATTGATCAATAGATTCTTCTGGTGTTTCTTCCTGTTTGTACAATTTCATAAAAAACTCCTTAGCATTTTTTTTCTTTTCTTGGGTCTGCGTACATAATTTCCCTTCCTGATCTTGGAGAGCTACGATCGTTCTCTTTTCTTGTTCTTTTTTAATTTTATGGGCTAACCACCTCCCCGGGGTTATTTGCATTTTTAAAATAATTTTGTTTTGCTAATTTAATTTTTCAGGCCAGATCTTCCTATACATTTAGATTTATCTTATGTTTTACCCGATCTATTTCTTTCTTAATATTTGAATTGTTCGGGTCCTTTTGTCTACTTGTTTCCAAATCTTTCAATTTCTCCCTCCATACGTTTTGTTGCTGTCCTTTTTCTTTATTCTTTTTAATATTGTAAGCAATAGTTAGACCTCTCACATAGGCTTCGGTCATATCCCAAAGATTCTGTAGGGAGGTATGTTCTCTTTTGTTTATTTCAAAAAATACGTGCAATTCTTTCTTTATCATTTCAATATATTCTTTATCTCTTAGCATGGTATTGTTAAATGTCCATCTTCCAATTTTTCTCTTTCCTTTCCATTTAATTTGAATGGGATTGTAGTCAGTCCATAGGTTTGGCAAAATCTCGATCCTTTCAATATTCTCCATTAACCCAGGGTCCATCCGTATCTGATCTATTCTGGACCAAGAATATGTTGATTTGTCTGTTTTAAATGTATCTCAAATAAATGTTTTTTCTAGAATAAAATAAAATAAATCTTGTTAGGACATCCGCAATGGCATTTGGCCAACCCAAATCTTTTAACTTTACCATTCCTTGAGAATCCTGATCAAATGTAAAACTGTAGGGACAAAAAAAAGGGGGACAGGATTTGAGTGACTCCTTTACAGCTTCCCCCTTTAGTCTTCATTGAAATCTTATCAAGTTCTCATGGAATTCTAGGTTTCTGTGGTTCGAAAAGCTACGGCCTTAACAACACCATAAATGCAAAAAGGAAAAACATATTGAATATTGAAATTATTTTATCTTTTATAAGGGAAAATTCAGGGAGGATTACAGCAGGCTGAGTTAGTTCACACATGTATATTTCTTGCATTTTGATTGGAACATTGACAGATTGTGATTTACAGGCAAGAACAATCAGAAATCCAATCTCATTGAACAACATATGTCAACTTTGGCAACTTTCAGTTGTATGGACTCCAATTCCCAGAATTTCCCAATCAGCAAGGGAATTTTGGGAGCTGGAGTCCACATAAAAGAAAGTGGCTAAGTTTGAGAAACCCTTCCTTAAATAGTTCTTGCTACCAGCTCACACCTCATCAAAAGACAATGCTTTTCACTGGAATCATTTCAAATATTCAGCTACCAGTCCTCAAGCAATGTATATTTACATGGAAATGAGCTCATTACATAGGCTATATTGTGGGTGTCGTTATTTTCAGAAATGCGTGCAAAAAATGTAATTTTTTAATCTCAGCTGGGTTTTTAAAAATCACAGTTACATGAAAAGTAGAAAAGAATACTTTCTGCATAATTTAGTTAATAGCTGTGATTCTTCCCTTGCATATATTAGACTTTTAATTCAGACTTGAGAGAAACCTGTTTTGAATGACAGATTGGAGATATAACTAAAAATATCTTTCAGTGTTGTTTCTGCATTCAGTGTGTCTCTGCAGAGCCAGTAAATGGAAGGAAAGAAGAATAAGTTCAAAGTATAATGTTATGTCTGGATGAGTGTCATTTTGCGTGTGTGTGTGTGTGTGTGTGTGTGTGTGTGTAGTATCACATTATACATGTGTGTGCTTGCATAGTACCACATTATGCATGCTGTAGTTATGGCAATGACCCTACTTTGTGCCCCCAAATACATAAATATTCCCATTCTGGTAAAATGCAATTTGCTCAAAACATTTAATAAGCATTTGTTTAATGTTGCATTTCAACAACGTGCTTCAAAAAGATGTTTTAAAAATGTGAACCCAAATGTTCCATTTGCTTTCCTACCACAGAGACAGAAAAGGATATGTTTTTCAGGGTTGCCTGGCATCCTGCATTGAGAAAGAGGTGATATCAAAATGGAAGAATCTTCCTGAGCTAAAAGGTTTACTTGAGCATGTGTCTTATTATAATCAAGATTTGTTCTTTTGCATTTCCTCAGCTGAGGGATTGAGGCAGTTTAAGCTTGAAGCAGAGGTGGTATTCAGCAGGTTCTAACCAGTTCTGCAGAACCGGTAGCGGAAATTTTGAGGAGTTCGGAGAAGCGGCAAATACCACCTCTGACTGGCCCCACCCCCATCTATTCTCTGCCTCCTGAGTCTCAGCTGATCGGCTGAGTCTTCTTTGGTTGCCCTGCACAGGAGAACGGAACTGGAAAGCAGGTTAGTGGGGTGGGGAGGAATGGGATTTTGCAATATCCTTCCCCCAAGAGTGGGGAGGGACTGGAGATTTTGCAGTATCCTTCCCCTGGAGTGGAGTGGATGTTCATTTTGTTTTTCAGCTGAAAAAAAGTTTAAAAAAAAAAACAAAAGCCAAAAACATCCTCTCATTTCTCATCAGTTTGTTGCTGAAATTCAGCAATACTGAATCCATTGATAAGCCTACTAAACACAGAAAAGTATCCTTCAGTTATACAAGTAGGTCTCATTTAGTGACCACAACTGGGACCTACCAGTTGGTCTCTAAGTGAAAGCACCACTGTGCTTGCCATTTCAGCTTTCCTTTGCAAAGGTCATAAATGCAAGGTAGGCTGTAAAGTTACTTTTCATCACTGTCCTAACTGTGGTTGATGTTGAGACAGTTGCTAAATAAAGAGTTAAAAACGAGAAAGAAGAAACTAGAAGAAAATAAATAAATTAATTCTCTCTAATTACTATTTTTACAGATTACAGATTAACACAATTGGAAGGTATCTTGTAGGTCATCTAGTCCAACACCCCCATCCAAGCAGAAGACCCCCACACTATTTCTGACAATTGGCAGTCTCTTCTTGAAAGCTTCCTTTGATGAAGCTCCCACATCTACTGAAGGCAAGCTGTTCCATTGCTCTCACTGTCAGAAAATTTCTCCTTATTTCCAGGTTGAATCTCTCCATTATTCCTTGTTTGGCCTTCAGGTGCCTTGGAAAATAGCTTGACCCCCTCCTCTCTGTGACAGCCCTTCAAATATTGGAACACTGCACTTTTGGGGCTATTTTGGGCTATTAGACCCCATTTCCATTTTTTTTCAGAATTTCACCAGTTGGAAAATAGGAAAAAAATCAACCCTCTTTGGGCCTGGTAGAGGAGTAAAGTCTGTTTGTTCAGTTCTAGTCCAGACTCTGTTGTTGTTGTTATTGTTGTTGTAATTGTGTGTAACTTACATGCCAGACTGTATTATGATGTTTACCTCCAAATTAGGGTGAATATTCCCTTTTTCTTTATAACTCTGAGGGAACAGAATTAATGATATTAACAAACAAAGCAAATTAAAAATGACAGGTCATTTATTTGAGGGTGATTGCCCTTAGGTAGCAGAAAGAGACAAGCAAAAAAAACCCTACATTCAAAATCTATCCCCCTGTTAAACCTCCCTCTAACTATTCTTGCCAAACTGGCAAGGAAATGGCTTCTTTCATCTCTTGGATTCAATTCCAATGTATTTTCAGTTGCAAGCTCCACTATGCAAATTATAGAAATGCTAGATCTTTTTGCATTGAGCAGTGCTCTGACTAGAAATATGTGCAGCTAGCATAATTGATTATGACCAGGTTCACATAACATGCTAAAACCAAATGTGTTTATTTGTGGCTAAAGGGTTTTATGTGAATCCAAAATAAAGATAAAGGTTTTTCCTGCCCAGTCATGTGTGACGCTAGGGGGTCAGATAGCGGTGCTTATCTCCATTTCTTAGCCAAAGAAGCCAGCATTGTTCAAAGATGCTTCCATGGTCATGTGGTTGGCATGACTATTTATCTACTTGCATTTGCATGCTTTCAAATTGTTAGATGACCAGGAGCTGGAACAAGTAATGGGAGCTCACCCCATTGCGTGGTGCTTGAGTCTCAAACCGGGCTATCAGCTTTCCAGTTGTCCTCAGCCTCTTTAACCGCTAAGTCATTGTGTCTGCTTGTGAATCCAGTTACTGGCATTTAAACAGATCAGTTTTAATCGTCTGGTTCTGGTGAGAGACTTCTACTCACAATGGAAGTTCCATTTCAATGTTATATCCCTGGCCCAAATTTAAAACGTTTTGCTACTCTAATAGAGTGTAGCGGACACCAGGGGTGGGTTTCTACCGGTTCTGTCCACCTCTGTAGAACCGGTAGCTCTGAAGAGCATCAGACATAGAACTGGTTCTATGTCTGCTGATGTTTTTGCCCACCCGCCCACCCGGGCTCTTATCTGACCTTTATTTCCTGATTTTTTTCAACTTCAGCTTCCATGCAAGGCACAGCTGCAGTTAAAAAAGCAGGAAAAAAGGGCTTTTTGAAAGGCTGCTTCTCTGCACGCAGCATGCTGATGATGATTTACAGGTGCCTGCCCGCAGTGTGCAGGGAAGTACATCGTAAATCACCAAACCTCGTAAATGACCGAACTGGTAGTTAACCCTGTCGGATCCCACCCCTGGCTGACACTCCTTCCCATTTCTTACTACAGATTGGTTCAACTATGATAACTTATTTTCAGATTCCCATAGCACACTAGTGATTCTGGGAACAGATTCTGAGTGACACAATCTCTAGGGACTCAGACTGAAAGGTTTACGTCTATTTTTCAGGACATAATAGAGCTGGGTATCAGTTGCATAGCTCATCTGTGGTCATAGAAGCAAGTACAACACGTTGTTTCAATATTTTCTTTCTAATGAAACACATATTAAAGATTCCCTTATCATCATCCTGATAGCCACATAAATTGCTATCAAAAATTATTTGAGAAGATGCATTATTACAATTTAATTTTTTCCCTGTCATTTTCCCAGGAGTTCAATGTCCCTTGTACAAGGACCTCTTATAATTTTATTCCCCAAGATGACTGATCCAATGTTCATCCTGTCAGTTTCCATGACTATATATATGTACATGTATATGTTCATGTATTATATCCGTGCATGTGTATTTTATGTATATGAAACTATAGCCATAACTTTAACCTTTTTCATTACATTTCATTTGGCAAACTGGATGTTTGCAAATTAAGTTATTTATTATACATAAAAACAGAGTCATGGAACTCTTCTGACTATTACATGTTATTGCTAAAAGAAATTATTTACTGAAAAATAATTGGATTGGTTTATTTATTTAAAAAATAATAATAATTCTACTAGAGCCTTTTTTTAAACAGATATTTTATACCTATCCAAGTGAAATGAGTCATTTTATATCATCAGAAATGGGAAACATGACTGGTATTTCCAACAACAACAATAAATAATTGCAGAAAACATCTACACCTATGGCAACTATCACCCACTCAGAAAAAACAAATCTAAAAATATGCATCAACAATGACAAACATTAAGAAATAAACAGAGTCATTTTAAATATTTCTGTGGGATAATCTGTGAAAAAATATCATTTTGTGTTTGGCTGTGAATTGAATTGTGTGGTGTCCAAAATTGTTGAAACACATTGTAAACCCAAAGTTGGTGTCAGAACATGGTCTAGTAGGTTCTAAATGTTTGAGTAAGGCTACTAGGTCTGACTTTCATTTGATTTTTGATAACCTTTATATTCTCCTGATGATAGATCTGTCAGAAATGGTGTAGGGTCTTCCGTTTAGGCAGGGGATTGTATTAGATGACCTACAAAGTCCCTTCCAACTCTGATTATCTGTTATCTGTTTTCTGACTCTACTGTTACCTTTGACATGACTGTCCTGTTTTATGTTTTCTACATTTTCCACTCATCATATTATTCAGATAGATGATAGATAGATAGATAGATAGATAGATAGATAGATAGATAGATAGAT